ACATACATACATACACACACACACACACACATATATATGTATATATATGATAACATATATAATATATATATATATATATATATATATAATATATATATATATGTGTGTGTGTGTGTGTGTGTGTGTGTGTGTGTGTGTGTGTGTGTGTGTGTGTGTGTGTGTGTGTGTGTGTGTGTGTGTGTGTGTGTGTGTGTGTGTGCATATATACAAGCATGTAGATAGTTGCTTTCTTCATGCAAACGGAATATCCGATGATTTAGAAGTAGCAATATAAATCAGTATAGGAGTATGAGGACTCAAAAGAGGCGAATGCAGTCGTGAATCCTACGTGAGTAGACGCGTGCGTGATGAATGGCAGCCAGAGTCCCAGTAATGGAGTCCAAGCATGTTTCGTATGCCAGGAAGAGGGTGTAACAGAGAGAGAGGTCGGGTCTGGCAGAGGCTGGCTTGCACGGCAGATAAATGCAGTGTTGGAAAGCAGGAGTGGCGTGGCGTGGGTGTTGCGTGCAAGCGCTGGGACGAGAATAGGCTTAGGCTATGACCGCTGACGGGTTGCAGGAGAAGCCGCGTCCGTTCAGCCGTCTGCTGGAGTCTGTGGAGCGGGCCAGGGCTGCGAGGGAAGGTTCATCTGCCGACAAGGCCAACAAGATCACCAACAGAGGTACGCCCATACAGAACTACGCCCACACGCCCACACAGCAGTTGCTCCAGGGTGGGCTGGGGTGGGAAGCCCGAGTAGCATGACAAACAGAAGGTCTGGGGAAGGTCTCAGTCACACAGTTGCACGGACCTCTTCATTAACATTGCCCTCACACCTGTACTTTCATGCATGCGTTTCTTTCTTTCGTACACCGTTTCTGTGTGGTTTGTTTCCTTAATTAAATAGTATCTTTTAGTTGTATAATACTAAATACACTACATAGTTGTTTATATAGTGTGTCAGAGCATACCGGCGGCAGGTTGGCAGCGTGAGTTCGGCTCCGTGTGTTGCAGGTCGTAGCGGTAGCAAATCATCGCTAGGCGGCGACTCGCTGGACTCGCGGCGCTCCCACGGCTCGCCCGAGCGGCGGAAGTCCATCCTCAAGCACCGGGACCCGGAGACCGAGCAGCTGCTGCCTGACCTCACCTTCGAGCCTCCTCCGCCGCCGGCAGGGGACCACGACAAACTGGGGCGCCCCTCCCTCAAGGGCATCGGGCCCAGGGCGGGCGGAAAGCCTCACGCCCTCCCCGTCAAGTTCGTGGGCGTGGACGAGGAGGAGGACAGCAACCGCCCGCGCCGCACCCTGCCCCGCTCGCCCATGCCACGGAGACACCCGCAGCGAGCGCCTCTGGCGGACTTGCTGGCGGACTTCGCGGGGCAGGAGAAGGCGGCGCGGGACGAGGCTACGCCCGAGAACATTCTCAAGGACTCGCTTGAGCCCAAACTGGCGGCGACTCTCGACCAGCGCAACGCCAACCTGGTGCTACGCTGCTCCAAGGCGCCCTGCCTGTACAACCAACCTGCCTCCACCTCGCCCATGGCCACGTCTCCTGACGAGGTTGGCGAGCCGCGACTCTGCCTGTGGGGCGCCCATGACGCGCGTGGCGGCGCCCGCGCACGCCACCTCCGCGCCCTCCAATGCCCTCCCGAACGCCCGCCCAGTCACCGAGAACTGCCTCATGATGGACGACCTCAACAACGGCCCGGCCACGCTGCGCGACATCGACGACCTGTTGTTCGCGGACCACACGCCCACCGAGGAGACGCACCTCCTGGACCGCTCGCTCTCCATCCCTCACAACGCCTCCGCCCTCAACACCTAGCTGTGAGTACTGGTGGGCGCGCTCGCCTCTCCCGGCCGCCCGCGGGCGCTTAGGACGAGGGCACCCGTGGGAAAAGCGGAGATTTCGAGTGTTATTGGCAACAGTTATCACTACTGCTTTTATTATTACTACGATTCGAGTCTGTTCCATTGATCGTAATAATTAGAATAGGAGTCAATGCCTCTGATACTAACAAGAGTAATAGGAGCAGTAGTAATCATAATAATGTTACAGTTGCAATATATGATAATAATAATAATGATATAATAACAATAATGATAATGATGATATGATGATGATAATAATAATGAAAATAATAATAACAAAATTTATAATTTTTATCATCATTTTTATTATCATAGGTATCATCATTATTATTATCATTATTATCATTTTCATAATATATTCATAATAATGATAGTATTATCATTATTATCATTATTTATGATATTATCATTATCCTTATTATTATCAATATCAATTCATAGTATAACTATGATAATAATAATAGTGACAAACTATAGCAGCAATAATGATAAGAAAAAAAAACAACCGCAGTGATGATAACATTGAAAATAATAATAACAATGATAGTAAAATTAATAACAATGACGATAATAACTTCAAATACTACTAATAATGATAATCATTACTATCACCGTTATTATTATTGCTATCATTACCATTCCATTATTACTATTATCATCATAATAACATTAATAATAATAATGGTAGTAATAGTAACAATAATAATGATAATAATAATAATGATAAAAACATTAATAATACCAGTGATGATGATGATGACAATAATAATAATAATAATAATAATAATAATAATAATAATAATAATAGTAACAAAAATAATTTTCATTATAATAATTATATCAGTTATGATGGGGATGATAACAATAATAATAACGATAATGATAATAATAATGATAATAATAATAATAATGATGGTGATGATAATAATAATGGTGATAATAATAATAATAGTAATAACAATAATAATAATGATACCAATAAAATAAAGATAAAGATAATGATAATAATAATAATAATAAATGATAATATAGTAGTAGTAATAACAATGATAATGATAATAATAATAATTATTATAATGATGTTAATAATAGTAATAATAATAATAATAATAATAATAATAACAATAATAATAATAATAACAGTACCGATACTGATGATCATAATGATTATAATGATAATGATAATAATAACAAAATAATAATAACGATAATAATAACACTAATAATAACAATAATAATAATAATAACAACAATAATAACAATAATGGTGATTATAATAATAATAATAATAAATAATAATAAATAACAATAATAAAGATGGTAATAGTAATAATGATAATATAATAATAATAATAATAATAATAATAATAATAATAATATATTATAAGAAGAAGAAGAAGAAAAAGAAGAACAATAGTAATAATAGTGATAATAATAATAATAATAATAAGAATAATAATAGTAATAATAAATTAATGTTACTACTACGACTTCTGCTACTACTACTAATACTAATACTAATTATATAATAACAATAATAATAATAACAATAACGATGATAATGATGAAGACGATGATGATGATGATGATAATAATGATGATGATGATGATGATGGTGATGATGATGATGATGATGATGATGATGATGATGATGATGATGATGATGATGATGTTGATGATGATGATGATGATGATGATGTTGATGATGATGATGATGACGATGATTGCAACAAAAATATTACTGTTAACAGAACTAACTGGAGGCCTATGGACTAGAGACTAGGGACTGGAAACGGATTGGTGACCAGAGACCTGAAATACGGACACAGAAAACTAAACATTAGAGACAGAACGCCGGAAACAGGAGTGCAGAGATTAGGGATTAGATAGTAGGCTCTGGGGAATAAAGTTTATGAGACTTAGATGCCGGAGACTGGAACAGAGAGACTCAGAGACAACACGTGAGGATCTTCAGACTGGAAGCTGCAGACTGGAGTGGGCGAGGCGAGAGGAAGTCCAACAAGTTTACACATGTTGCTTTCTGCTCCGATCGCTTGAGTCTGCGATCTGCCTTATTTGGTGATCTCCAGTCAAAGGTCTTTTTTAGGGGTGGGGCGGGAGGAGGTAATATCATAGATGACAGGATTGAAAAATATAAGCATTCTTTGTTAATAAACTTTAATCGCATATGGAAAATTCTCAGGTATTAGGCGGAAAGAAAAAGAAAAAAAAAACGATATTTCTTGGCCTTATCACTTTATAATATCTCATTTTCTTCCGAAATGCTTTTCTAGAATGGAAGATGTTCTTTCCATCCCATAAGTTTCAACTGCCAGAGTGATGATAGCTATAATCTCCTGCCAAAGCGAAACAAGTCATAAACATAGAGGTATTAAGGGTCACAATAGAATATTCGCGGCTATTGGATATGTCTTTGGCAAGAACAGTAGCCATGTGTCGTCATTTGTTTTGAAAGGCGAACTAACCAATGGGGAAGCTGCTCGAGCCCTATTGATCCGCCCATGTCCGGACACGTGAACTTTGGCATGGTATAACCGTTTCTTCCTTTTGTGTTCGTCTGCGTACACATTTTGGTATTCTATAGAAAATAGATCGTTTTATTAATTATCTCTGAATTTATCACGATGGAAAGTTAGGAGATACTATAGAAAGATAACGGAAATGTTTCCTAAAGTTCCGTGTGAAAAATGGCTGTTCACCGTGTACGAATGCAGTACGGAGGCTGCGCTATTGATTCCAAATATGGTTCATGTGAGCACGCATGTTGTTACATCATCCTGAGATAACCAAGTCTCTATGACGCATGTGTTGATAATAATGGCAGTTTGATAACTGGATTTAAATTTTCTAGCGGCGAAGACCGTTGCCGTCATTTCAATATATGTATTTATGTGTGTGTGTGTGTGTGTGTGTGTGTGCGTGTGTGTGTGTGTGTGTGTGTGTGTGTGTGTGTGTGTGTGTGTGTGTGTGTGTGTGCGCGCGCGCATGTGTACGTGTGTGTGTTTGTGTGTATGTGTGTGTGTGTGTGTGTATTTGTGTTATTGCGCGCGCGCGCGCGCGCGTGTGTGTGTGTGTGCTAGCTGGCATATATGCATTTTTTTTCCTTTTCCTATTTATGAACACTCCAGAAGAACTGCTCCGACTCCCCCGACTGCTCCCGGCCGTGCAACTGACCCCTGCCTCGTTTTCCAGGTTGCTTCGCCTTCGTGGAAGGACGCCCCGGCCTTCCAACGAGAGGGCTGGAAAGAGACGCGAGACGAAGTGGAGGATTGATTTCGGTCATCCATCCACTCACCCCGCGATGCTGCAGACAATTCACGAGGGGGAATCACCATCAAGCACCTGAACGCGAGCGAAGACAAGGCCTCTGATCCGCCAAACGCCAAAGGTTCGCCAAACAGGAACGCGTTTTCGCGCGAGGAACCCGCCACACGAGGCGTCGTCGCCGGGGCAAGTTTCTCCAAGACCCTGAGGCGTTTCTCTTCATGCGGGAGCGAGATTGGCTTCTTCCTAGCAATAAAATCACTAAATACTTAAATAATTGCTCATCTCGTTGTTGAAAAAGGTTCGAACTTTTTTTTTGATTGATGTATGTAATTGATTATTTAGTATATCCCAGAAAACAAGCCACGAGAAAGCGGACAAAACTAATGTTGAGCTTTCAGAGGAGAGTCGGCCAACTGCCCCTCCCTCTCACAGGCCCAGAGGATGGCGTCGTTTGGGAATCAGCAGTAAGCTCTGTGCAAACAAACCGTCTGTTTCAAAATATTACAGTTATTAATACAAACAGTTAGGAAACCAAGCCTTATAAACCAGCGAGTGGGCAGTTGTCTTTGGTAGGTCTGCCCGACACCAACAGTATTGCAGTTAAAGTAAGTTGAAATGGCCCTCGGATCGCTCTGGAGGGGGGTTCTCGGGGTCCCTCCAGTACGAAAGAAAAGAAGCGAAATATCAAAGTACCTCTTAGCAATGATAAAGATAAAAAATGCTTTTGTAACAAAATTTATTCCCCTTATCTTGTCAAGACTTCGTCCATTGCGTCCCTTTTATGGGTGTTTTTGTACCGAAGCTTAAAAAAAATTGGCACAAACTAATTCGGAATTTTGGGGGTTAAAAAGCTATATAAAAAGTAAAATAATCTCTGTGGAGCCGCTTGCGATACCGATGGTCACTTGTAGGTCCTAGTCAAAAGTTGTTACATGTAGTACCGTAGAGGCGACGCCACCGTGATAAAAATCTAGAAATTACCAGCTTTGTGCGCCTACAAGCCATTCCGCCAGTCAGCCAAGCAGCCAGCCAGCCAGCGCCTAGCCTTCCGTGTCTGTAAAACTCCGCTATTCGCACCAAGAAATAGACAGCATGGCTATCGCATGGAGCGCCCGCCATAAGGTTTTGCGCCGCCAGAAAAGGGGGAAATACTCACCTCGACTTCGTTGGATGATAAAAAAAAATACTCAAGATTAAACTAGACTCGTATCGGCAGCCCGGTAACAGATAACAAGGAAATATTGTCGATAAAAACAATATATATCAAGCAATTCCTAAAACAACACGTTAGATCAAAATATTTTTCTTCGCTTTGCTTTCTCTCTCTTTCTGTTTGCCTTTCTGTCTGTTTATCTATCTGTCTATCTACCTACCTGCCTACCTACCTATCTTTATATCTATCTATCTGTCTATCTATCCATCTATGTCTAGCAGGCACCATCTCTCCACCTCCTTCTATGTTTCCTCACATTAACTTCAGGAAAGGGAAGTCCCATGCGATAGCCATACTGACGTCAGTCTTAGAGCAGACCAAAAATAACACTTCGTTCCTCCGGTGCTTTATATAAACGAGCTAAATAAGTGAAGAAAAAAAACGATGTAGAAAACGAGTCACAGAACGTTTTTCCCTCATTTGGTTACGAGTTGACCTTCCGCTGGTGAACTTGGGCCAAGTGGAAGACAAGAGCCATGTGAACAGGAACAGCGGAGGACAACCAGTTCTTTTCCCTTATGTATTCCAGTGTGAGTTTATTTTTCAAGATAAAAAGATAAAGACACAAGTGACAAGTGAATGGAGAATTGTGATATGGTTAATATTTTTTTAATCTTAAGCTCAAGATGTTACAAAAAAGAAGCGCTAAGCACTATAGTCTGGCACTTCATGGGGCAAGGAAATTAGTTTATTTCTCAATTCAGTATTCAGCACAATTAAATACTTGATAAAGGCCAGGATAGCCTTTTCCATTGTTATTCTTTATTTATTTGTCTTTTCATGTGGAGAATAATCCACGGCTGTGTTCCTTGCCACAAAGTATATTTAATTTCCTACACATGTTCTTTGTTTATCATATGTTAAGAATTCTGATATTTATGGTTTAAATCTTGTTACTCTATTGTATGTAAGGGGATTTTCTTTCATTTTTGTAACAGTTGTCAAAATTATCTGTACAGATTGTGAAAATCGAAAGTTTAGGAATTCTCAAATATGTTATTAGATATTTTGTATATTGCCTGATGACTTTTGATGTATCTATTATCTGTTGAACAAATGCATATTCTTATCAGTGTTACTGATAAACGTTTATGTCACACGTCAAATGTGTGGATACTGTACAAGCTCGATCTTTCTCTTAAGTGTTTAAAACTTACGCAATGCAAGTCTGCATAATATTTACATGAGGCGTTGTAATAAACTGCCGTTGGACGTGCGTCAATCAGCAATTATTTTCCGATATTAGAAGTGACTCGTGCAGATTGTAACAGGCACTGTGTTAAGAGAGTGGTGTATAGCCCGAAGGGTTACTTTAATCTTTTTTAATCCTAGGGAAAAATAAATTCTATTTTATTTCTTAAATTTATGTGGATGAAACCCCGGTGATGGTGGAAGCGCAAAGGTCATGCCGGGACGCTGTCGATTCCCGCTGCCTCATTCAGCACGTGCGTGTGGGTGTGTGTCTGCGCGTTATGCTCTGTGCGCATGGGAGTGAGCGAGTCCCGGTCAGGCAGAAGGGCGAATCCGCAGCGCCCCGGGATCCTGAGCGACAAGGGAACACGCTGGCATGGCAGCTCCCCGGGGTGACGGACCCTTGGCTCGCCGACGCCTCGAGCCCGGCAAAGGGTCCAGTCACAGCCGGAGACCGTCGCTCTAGGCTTCTCCTGCAAGTACCTGTTACGAAGAAAAAGCAAAAGATTCTTGTTTCTGTACTTAGCGTTTCATATATGTATGTATGAATGTATATATGTACGTATGTCCGTATGCATGCATGTATATATCGGGATGAGAGGAGAGTTTCCTGAGACGACGGAAGCTTCCTTGTCAGCAAAATCCCCCCACAAAGCATGACGTCATCTAGGATAACTGTATTCATTAAGTGTCTGAGTTTTTCATTCAGGTCTTATCACACTGTTATGTATCATACACCGGCCAGATGATAATGTTATTATAGACTTTCTTTGTCGCGTGAATTACGATCAAGAACCAAATATGTATAATTAATATTGCATGGGTATATCTCCGGGCTACTGCTGAGGTGGTCGTCATGGCAACGAGGTGCAACAAAGTGGTAGATGGGTAGTCGTTGGTGAGCGCAAAAGAAGAAGGAGGAAGAGAGAAAAACGGCAGATAGGGAGGGAAGCAGAGGAAGAGGCAAGGGGAGGAGGAGAATAACTCTCGTTTTGGTTCTTCCTCTTTCTGCGCTTTCCTCCCCGTCGCCTCCTCTCCTTTCTTCCTTCTTCGCCGATAGACTGTTACAAGTATATGTGTGGATATTTTTTTCTGAAATGTTGCCTCGGTCAGTCCACGTCAGACTCCTTGTAGTCCATCAGTTCTGCACTTATACATTCTTAATAATATCCGGGTGGGTAGTAAAGTTGAGCCTCGAATTGTTTGTTTCTTCAGATGTTTATATAAAAGATAAAACCAATTTGATGGTTGCTTAAGTGTAGTAAGTGTCCATCAGCTGGCCATGACGCTTGGCGATCGTCCTTTGTCTCGGTCTTATTTTTTTTTCTTCTCTTCTTATTGCAAGAGAGAAAAAGATGACGATTTCCATGCGTCACTGACTATGTGAGATGTCACGTGACTCCGAGGTGAGGTTTTCCCGCCCACCCTCTCGTTACATCCATCGTGTCAAAAACACATTTCATCTCTCACGCTCCAATGACATAAATGTGCATATGCTCAATAAGTTACTGTATATTGTGAAGAGTCCAAGTTTTTTCTCCCCTCCTCCCCTCCTCCCCTCACGCTCCCCCTTCTCCTTCCTCCGTGTAATGTCCAGCGCGATCATAGTTGAATCATCAATTGTTTCCCAAAAGCCTTGGTGTTGTGGACTAGCGTAGGGCTCACGACGCGGGCCTGCTGACTTGTCCCGATCACCCGCCATCGCCGCCAGGAAGGAACAGCAACATCGGCCTCTTCGCAAACCCTCGCGATGGTTCTGAAGGAAAATGGCCTTCGTTTTCACCACTGTCGCACCATGAGCTTCGTCGGGCCGCGTAACAGGAATAAAAAAACGTAAACTGATGACTAATCTTTATTGCCAGTCTATATTCATTTGCTTCATTACTTATTCAAAATCATTAAATCTACTGCGATGAAGTTACTATTATGAGTTAAGCAATAGCGCACATTCGATTGAATCAAATTATTCTGAAAGTTTTTCTCAAGAAAAATTATTTAAACAATCGGGTGCAGTAAATACAGAAAGTAACCTCAAAAAGACCGCAGAAGTTGTAATCATTCAGCCTAACGCCCTAGCCTAAGACTTGCTGAAACGTAGCTAACTTCCTTTAGTCTCCCGTGATGTTTACTTGAACTAGAGAAAACGACAACCCTAAAAATCTCCCTTGAAATTAAAGTAGTAAATTAGTCCCCAGATCAGCAGTAACGAATGTCTTTAAAGAGACTAGAGAGTAATGGTAATCAAATATGCTATTTTAATTGGAAACTAAAATGCACTTGAAGATATAGCACCAACTAAGCACGTCTACCATAACAGAGTTGCACAACCGATTCTTATCTACCGAGTCCCTTCCTGCCCTCGCCATCGTCGCAGCTCCCGGGAATCTCTTTGGCCCTTTCTCTCGTCAGTTCCTTCCGCGCACTCCTCTCGGAACCCCACGCGTTTCCCTTCGGCCGA